CGGCGCGTCCGCGGCGGCGCCGCCGCGCGCGGCCGCGACGGCGCCCCCGAGGACCCATCGCAGGAGCTCGCGGAACGGCAGCCGCCGCCAGACGACGTAGAGCACGCAGAGGTAGAAGAATGCGACGGACGCGACCATGCCGTAGTAGTCGCGGTGCTCGCCTGCGACGCGCGCGCGGCTCGCGCGCCGCGGCGAAAAGACCGCGCGGCGGGCGCCGCCGCGCGACGGTCGCGGATCGCGCGGATCAGCCGCTTCGCGCCGCGCATCGCGCCCGAGATGCGCCCGTGGTGGCCGAGGACGCCCCCGAGCGCCGCCGCGTCGTCCTCGATGGCCGACCCGGCGACGTGGATCTGGTCCAGGCCCCGCTCGAGGAGCTCGCGCGTGCGCCGGAGCGACCTGCGCGCGGGACGACCGGTGAGGCGGGGACCGGTTCCGGCGAACCGAGGTTTCCCGCGCGGGCACCGACGATTCCGTCTCGCGCGCGTCGTCCGCGGCGCGCGACTTTTCGGCGGCCCGCGCGCCGCCCCGCCCGGCGAGCAGCGCCTCGCGGTCCGCGGCCGCGAGCGCCGCGGCGCCGCCGCCGCCGCCGCACGCGCGGAGCGCGCGCGCGGCCGCGTCGGCCGCCGCCGCCGCGCGGACGCGGCGCCGCCGGAGGCCGACGCCGGCGGCCTCGCGCCGCTCCTCCGGCGCGAGCGCCGCGGCCGCCTCCGCCGCGTCGAGGGCCGCGGCGACCGACGCGCGGAGCGCCGCCGCCGACGCCCGCGCGCCGCGCACGGCGGCGACCCAGGACGGGTCCGACGGCCGCGGCGACGCGCCGAGCGCCTCGAGCGCCCGCACCTGCGCGTCGAGGCCCGCGAGCTCCGCGTCCATCGAGCTCATGGGTCGAAGGTGCGAGCGCAACGCGCCACAGCTCGCAGCTCTCGCAAAGGCTTGCCACAGCACAGCTCAGATCACAGCTCGAGCGAGCGGCCGACGGTGCCGCGGCCGTATCATCCTGCGCCAACGCGCAATGGGAGAGCAGAAGTAGGAGTGCTCTCCCTCGGTTCACCTCGAGGCGCCGCGCTCGCGATCTCGAAGCTCGCCTCCGAGCGGGTCGACGCGCCGCCCCCGTCTTCGCGCGCCCCCATGGGCGCCGGCGCGTCGGCCCAGGCGGCGGCCCAGGACGACGAGGGCCCGCTGGCGCCCGTCGTGCTCAAGGGGCTGCCCGGCGCCATGGAGACGGCGCTGTTCGTGCGCGAGAAGTGGCCCCTCGTCGTCGACCCCACGGAGCAGGCCGGGCGGTTCCTGCGGTACCAGCGCGGCTCCTTCCTCATCGGCGAATCCATGCGCGACATGGACCACGAGCACCTGCGCCAGCTGCTCGTGGGCTGCCTCAAGTGCGGGTCCATGATGACGATCACGTACGAGACGCTGCAGAACGTCGACCTCGGCGCGGTCTTCAAGGAGGGCGCGTTCCCCCGGGCCGTGCTCGACAAGCGCGAGCTCTTCAAGGAAAGCGTCTGGGCCGCCCTCCTCCGGCCCGACCTGGGCGACCCGCCGCCGCACGAGTTCCTGCCGCGCGACGACTTCGCGCTCTGCGTCGTCGCCAAGACGCTCGGCGGCGCGGACGTCCCCGAGGATTTCCGGAGCGCGTTCTGCGTCGTCGAGGTCAAGGAGACGCCGGGCGCCGCGGGCGCGGCCGGCGGCGGCGACGCCGTCGAGGCCGCGCTCGGGGCCAAGGAGGTCCGGCGCAACTCTCCCGACATGGTCGAGTTCGCCTTCGACGGCGAGCTCGACGAGGTCCGGGCCCTCATCGACAAGGGCTACTACGTCGACTCCGTCGACGGCCGCAAGCACACGCCGTTGAGCGACGCCTGCGCGCAGGGCCACGTCGCGACCGTCGAGTACCTCCTGGAGCTCGGCGCGGACCCGAACAGCAAGAGCGACCTCAGCCGCACGCCCATGTGGCGCGCGGCCTACAACGGCGAGGCGGCCATGGTCAAGCTGCTCCTCGAGGCCGGCGGCGACCCGACGATCCCGACGACGGACTTCGAGCGGCCCTTCGACGTCGCCAAGGACGACGCGACGCGCGACGTCCTGAGCGCGCGCGTCCGCCGGCGTCCGGGCGGCCGGCGCGGCGCCGCGCGTCGACGCCCGCCGCGCGCAGGTGGCCCGAGGAGGAGACCGCGCGGCTCCTCCAGGTCCGCGCGGACAAGATGGCCGCCGCGCTCGAGGCGCGGCTCAAGACGGCCGCGGAGCGCGAGGCGCACGCGCGCACGGCCGCGCGCAACTCAAATCTTCGACCCGACTTCAATGTGAGCGTATGCGACGGTGTCGACGCGAGGGTGTCCGCCGTGCTTCGAAAGCTCGCCGAGAGCCATCGACTCGTCCAATAATCGGCCGAAACGACTTCGACCGAGCGAGCGCATGTGGACGTGTGGCCCGGACGTCCCAGCTCACCGGGTGATGCGCGCGCAGGCGCGAGGTCCTGCGGTCCGAGCTCGTCGAGCTCGCCGTCGCGGGCAAGACCGCGGACGTCAAGGCGAAGCTCGAGGAGCTCGCCGACGACGCGGACGCCCACAACGAGCGGCCGCGCGCGACGGCGAACACGGCGCGCGACGACCGCGGCGCGACGCTGCTCCACCTCGCGGCGCAGCACGGCCACCTCGAGCTCGCGGAGCTGCTCCTCACGCACGCGGCGACGCTCGACCCGCCCCACGTGCTCCCGGGCGACGAGTGCACGGCGGCCAAGGTCTTCTTCGTCAACGTGAACCGCCGCGACGCCAAGGGCTGGACGCCGCTGTCCGTCGCCGTCTTCCACGACCGGAAGCGGCTCGCCAAGCTGCTCCTCGACCACGGCGGCGACCCGAACCTCGCGAACCAGTTCGGCCACACGGCCTTCGACGTCGCCAAGGACCAGGTCGCGTCCGACGAGCGCACGGTGCTCAAGGACAAGTCCGAGGTCCGCGCGGTCCTCGAGGAGTGGGACCGCGACGCGCGGTCCAAGCTCTTCGGCACGTCCGGCGACGTCAAGGTCGCGGACGGCGCCGCGGCCGAGGAGCTCCCGGCCGAGGGCACGGGCGTCGCGCTCCAGGTCGAGATGGCCGCCGACGACGCCGCCCGCGACGCCGCGCCGCCGAAGAAGAAGAAGGGCGCCGGCGCGAAGAAGGCCGCGGCCGCCGTCGGCCGCATGTCCGCGAAGAAGGGCGGCAAGAAGAAGAAGTAAGAGCTTGCACTTACTGCTCACGCCCCCCCCCCCCCCCCTAGGTCGGGGTCATCTTGCCCTGGAGGAAGCCCTCG